GGCTGGTCCGATTCGGGGCGGGACGGGACGGGACGGGGCGGTGCAATGCGTGTGGTGGTCGCATGTCACATGCCGGCGCGCATTGTCTACATTTCGTTGCTGTCGTCAAAGTCTTGCAATGTGACCGTCTCTCGGCAAATGCTGCTAATTGCAGGTGCTCTGCTCAACAGGCAGGTGGGTGGGTGCTTGTGTGGGTGTCTACGTTGCAATTAGTGCAACTAATTAATAATATAGCATGCTAAGTAGTTGCAGTTGCCAGTTCTAGGCAGCTGCCACCACTTGTATCTGCCTATCGATCAATGCAAGATACTTGTGGGTGTGCTGCTGTGTGCCTCTCTCTGTGTGTGTGTGTGGTGTGTGTGTATCTTTTTGCCACACTGATTGGGTATTAATATATGGATACGTGAGCAAATTGTTTAGCATTGGGTCAGCTGCTTAAGTATCTATGGGTATTGACTGTGCAAAGGCCAATTTACATGCAGTTGCCAATCTCAGATGTGAATGCATTTCGAACAAGTTTATATTTAGAATAATGTATAATATAATTCCAAAGTTTGTGCATGCTATATAAATAGCTCTGATTACTAATTGAGTTGGCTTTAAATTAAAATTTATAGATTTTAAAAGTCGATTATTATTGAGAAATTTAAATTTAGTGGTAAATTGAAATCTACCCATCTTGATCTCCCCTTCTATTCAAAAATATGTTTTAAGTGCATCGTATAAAGAATCAAGAGTTAGAATCAACGGTTACCGCAATGTTAATTGCTGTGATAATCTTGAAGCCGAATAAGAAACTTTCGTTTATTTTACCTTTCACCCACATTTGCCACCCAAGAACGTTTAAATAAATTCTGACAAACATCTTTGATCTTGAAAATGAGTAAGAGGCCGATCGGATGTTAAACAAAAAAGTTTCATTCAAACGTTTTTCGCGATTTTTCCACAATGCGTGTGAAATTTTCCGAAACCACGTCTTAACGCGCGCCTTCATCTCATACGGCAATGTGGCTGTGCGTTGATCACCAATCAGTCAGTCAATCATTCAGTCAGTCAGTCAGTCAGGACAAACAGTTTTATATATAGAGATGACATCTAACTTGTAACTCGTGTCAGTTTTGGCCAGGTTCGGTGTGTATAAAGAATCATATCTCAACTTTATTATCCTATGAACCCAGTTCTAACCGTACTCATATTTAGCTGGAAATCTAACTTTTGAGTCCCCCCATTAAGCATGCCTATAAATATAACTGCACACTTTGCAAACACACGCGCCACTCGCTAATTTCTCTCTGGCAACATTTTGGAAATCTCAACGGAAGAAACCAACACACGTGGCTCAGGTGTTTACAGCGGCTGCCCCGGGGCCAACAGCGAAAAGCGAGCATCATCAAATTTTGAGACGGCGCCGCGTGACGCAATTTCAAGACCGATTTCTCGAACCTACAAATCTGCCAAAAGAGCTGTCAAAACAGGTACAAATACAAATGCGCAAACAAATACAAACGCGAGTGCAAAAATGCAGCTGATATGCGGCGGGCGGGCGTTTGAGTTAATGAGCCGTTGACTGACTGCGTCGCGGGTTCAATGGCCACAATTGAGTCACAATATGCATAGAATAGCGCCAGCCGGGAGGCAGAGCATCCCATAGCCAAACATTTGCATACAAATGTTCAGATGGCAAGAGAGTAATATACGCAATCGAGAGTGCCCGACTGGGAAATACCCTACAATCAATTGCGCGACGTTAACTCAGTCTCATTCAGTCTCACATGATTTTAAGAAAATCGCTGTAGTTATCGAATAAGCAGATACTAGTTTATATATACTCAGAAATATATATATTTGATGGGGTCAAATATGGCTTCTTCTGTCTGTTACAAACATTTGTATTAATGCAACATACCCTCTTTACTCATTTCCAATGAGTATACAAATACAGGAATGAGCAGTGACAGGCAGCAGACGACAACAAAGACAAACGGCAAAGGCAAAAGGCCAGGCAACTGGCCATGACTGACACCCCGGCAAGAGGTAGCCGTTGATCCTGATGATGATGAGGCCAAAGAGACTCAGCCAGACCGACGCTTGCCCCTCTGTCCGTCTGTCTGTTTGTCTGTTTATCTGTCCGTCTAACTAACTGTGGCATGAGAAATCGCATGCAATACAAATTAAGCAAATGTTTGATGAAATTTGACTGCGGGCAATTGGAATTGAAGCTGGTGCTGGAATTCGGGGTCTGAATTGGAGTTGGATTTGCAGTTGGAGTTGGTGGCCTGCACCTGCGGCAACTGGCAGGCGTGCTATAGCCGCAAAATCCACAGCAACACGATAAACTCTTCTGATATGTTTGCCGCAGCTGTTGCCGCCAGCATGCATTTTGCTGTCATTTGGCCAAAGCAGATGCAGTTGAATGGAGAGAGCCAGATAGACGTACATGTATGCAAATACAGATGCAGATACGTACCCCATATGGATAGCTCGGCTTTCAGAGCTATGCTGTTGTTCATTTTCCTCGTTTGATGCAGAGGTCGCTGTGGCACAGGTCGAATCCGTTTTATTGGCTGCCCATTGCCACTTTGCTGACAGCCCTTCGACAATTTGGGCAATTGCTGTGGCCGGGCGATGCATCGTGAGTTATGAGTGAACTCACAAAAGACTATTTAGTCAGTCAAATGGCTGAAAAGCAAACAGAGATGTCAAGTTGGTGAACTTTGAGGAGCATTTTACTGGTTTTTTCACTTTCAATTGATATTAACACATCATTGAACTTACCAATATGGTTAAACTCAATGTTTGCATACAGAGCGGTAGATAAACAGTTAGTCAGCTATATTTCATTTTAGATTAAATGATTTTTATTAAACTGATTTCAAGTAATTTTAAAATTATTTTCAGCCCGCCAAAATCCACATAGCTATAAGCTAATTGCTACAACACTGCACAAGTCAGTTTGTGTATTGACATAACCAATAACTCGCTTAACCAATTCTTAGAATTGCTACCATACCATATACTGCAAGCGTAGCTATTTTATCCAACTCAAATATTGAACGACGAGCGTTTGTGTACCTGCTTAACGAGTAACGTACCTAACGAATAACGCAATACTCACTTAACGAACTGCTCACTTGACGAGACACCACACGCGCTTACCGAAGACTGAACATTTTTTTGGAAAAATACATGTTCTCAACATGCCCACTTCCCGCGCAGTTTGTGTAATATTGAATGCCGCCACTTACGTTAACTAAACACTACAAAATTCACAAATTTACAATTATCTCATAAAAATAACTCTGTTTTTTCAATTTTTCTCGTTTTGTCACACGCGCTGCGGTTTGTGTGCCAGACCTATGGAACCACACTACTCACTTAACGAATTGCTCACTTGACGAACGGCGTCGATAGCCTTAGCACAGATACACACCCGCGACTGCAGCATATTCGAGGCACACACCTCGCTGTAGACACAACTATCGCAGGCCGCCACAACTTATCGAACTAAACGATAATATAAAAGTTAGATACATACATATTCAAATTCATAATTTAACATCCTTTGCATGTTTTATATACATATCGCTCTGAAAACATAGATATTTTAGTTGGATTTTATATTAAACCACCTGCAGTCACTATTTAATGAATAATCTCATTTAACTTTTTATTTAATAACCTTTACTAATTATATTCATAACTTAGTCAATATTTTCTGTTTCTTGTGTTTAATTATAATTTAAAATATTTGTTGAGCTTATAAATTATTAAAACTATGCGCGGAAAAATGAGTCACTTGCCAAAACGAGAATCGTTTGGTTCATTTACAAATTCAAATACAAAAACTGATTAATTGAGGGGTATCTGTCTGCCCCCTTCATTATGTTTACCGTTATGTTTGCACTACACTTACACAGCGACCTCTATAAATATATATGTATGCTTTTATTCGAAATGATTCGTGAGCCAATCAACAACTACTCGTATGTAACTCATGAGTTTCGATTGGGTGCATTGGATTTTGCCGGAATGCAATACGACTTATACAGTTACAAATTGCCTAGAGGAGTACGCTTAGACTACAACTAAATAATTGCCGCTGGTTCATAGGATAACATTAAAAATTTTGGTACAGTCATCGTTAATATATATATATATATCCATAGATCAATACTACTAATTTATGTTGTTACGTTATAAATGATTTCTATTTCTTTTCTTTTGTTTTCGCTAATTGTGTCCAGTTGCGGCGATAAATATCGGTATATCGTTTTGGCCAGCAACTGAACTGAATACCCCTAATGCTGATTGGTTTTGGTTATGTTTGCGTCGTATTTACAGATTTCTCTTAATTATAGCTTGCCGTAAACTTCGTTTTGATTATATACTTGCTGAATTACACATACTTACATACATACATAATACAATTAATAATCAATAATCAATTAATAATTAATATATAATAATTAATAATACTTTAAATTAGGTTAAGTGCTCAGTTTTAAGTTTAAAGATTTCATGTATTGCCTCAAATGCTTTGTAAGCTTTGTCATATTCAGTTACTTAGCTTAAAATTAATAATAATTAAACCCAAACAAAAAACACGAAATTATAATTGGGAATAGGAACTAAAAGCACCAGCAAAATATACAAAAATTAATGAAACATAAACTATATATACTAAATTGTTAATCATAAATCAAATATTGTCTTGAGTGCGTGAATTAAATGATCATTAAATTATTCGCTTAATTACATTAATTAATTCATTTATAAACATATTGCAATCGGTTTTCACAGTTGGAAAATGCTTTCGCTTGGCCAGAGTTATGTGCGCAGCGGAGGCGGCAGCGCGGGGCGTGCCGGGGGCGGCTGCGACGATGGCCCCGCACCCCCTGCCACTGTTGCCACACCCGGCGGATGGAGCTGCATGTGCACGCGCTTGGCCCGGTAGCGCTTCAGCTTGCGGCGCGCCATGAACAGGCTCGGGTTGAAGTTGAAGTCGCGACAGCCGTGGTGCGGGGGTGGCGGCGGCGGGGGTGGGGACGAGTGCGAGTGCGAGTGCGCAGCTGCAGCCGCATCCAGCTCGTAGGGCGGGAAGAACATTGGGTTGGCAGCCCAATCCCGCCACATATTTCAATCCTGCGCCCCGCCATTCGCCTGCGCCAGCGTCGCCCCATTACTGGACAGCTCGCTGTGGCGGCGCTGCTCCAGGGCCAGCGGCAGGCCGGCGGCGAAGTCATCGTCCAGCGAGGAGGACTGCTTAGAGCCCACCGACTTGCAGTCCTCGTCCATGCTGACGCCCAGATGGTGCATGGCCACCGCCGCATGGTGGCGCTCCGCTGGCGGCAGCAGGTTCAGCATGCTGAGCGGCAGGCCCGGAAAGCCGCCGGAAAAGTCCGGATAGAAGCCTTGCGGATTGAAGGGATTGAACAGTGCATTGGGTCCGCCCAGCAGATCTGGCTCGGAGCTGCCGCTGCGCGGACCAGCGGGCGGACCCAGCGGCAAGCCCAGCTCCAAGTCGAGCGGACCCAGTCCAGCCAAATCGCTGGGATGTGGCATGGGCGGACCACCACCGCCACCACCATTACCATTGCCGTTGCCACCGGAAGAGCCATTGTTGGCGCCCGAATTGGCATTGGCATTCTTCTCCTTGTCCTTTTCCTTGCGCTCCTTCTTCTCGCTCTTGGAGCTGCCTCCGCCGCCGCTGATGCCCATCTGCAGCATCTCGATGGGCGGTCCGCTGATGCAGTCCTTGCGCAGCTGCTCCAGCTTCAGACTCTTGCCATACTTGCCCCGCACGTACATGAGGAGCGAGTTGTAGGGTATGCCGAAGATGCGCGAGGCCTGCGACGTGGTCATCTTCTTGTTCCACACGTGCTGCAGTGCCTCCGTTAGCTCCGTGTTGGTCCACGAGCGCGGTGGACCGCCGCGTGGCGCCGAATGCTGTCCCTTGGGACGTGGCACTGCAAGGAGAGAGAGAGAGAGAGAGAAGAGATTGATTAGTGCTGTGGCAAAGGCACCTGAGCTACTTTCGGAGCTCCACTGTAGACTTCATCGGGTTATCTCGCGGCGACCATCAGCTAATGTTTCAATCTACGTGGCCCATATGCGGCCTAGACAATTTCGCTGAAAGATTTGCCCATTGTCTGCAGTTGCCTACAGCTCATACACACCCTGTTGTGCCTGTTGCTATACCCTGTACGCATTTACAGTGCCCAAAAGGGGTATAATGAACACTGAAGCCCCATCAAAGTTCTTATGTCTATGTTAGCTATATCCGATTTGTTCTCAGAGACTCTAAGTGCGAGAAGTCGCTGCAGTTGCTCGAAATCGATAAATATCGATTATCAGGTTAAGGTTTTTGAGCTTATCTCAAAGAATTAAAGATATAGACACTAAATTTGGCATGTTTTTGCAGGATTATTTCACTTTTCGAAAACCTGACGCTATTCTGCCCATAGCTGAACACTTTTTTCCAAATCACTAAATTCCATCTCTTAGTCCTCAAAGTTGTGCTATAATCGCACATTAAACACACATTTATATAAAAATACATTTTTTGTATAGGGCTTAGGATATGTCTTAGTCGTGCACACTCTGTAGAGCAATCTTTCTGGTTGTTGCTGCAGTTGTTGTTGTTGCATGTGGCACCTACAAAAAGCGAACGCTGTGGTGGTTCCCATACCCAAAAGCCTGAGCTCGAGCCAGTGCCTCGCCCGACCTTCCATATGCAAATTACGAGCATGGAGCCTCGTCACATGCGCCGCTAAAACTCAATTTAGATCCAAAGATATCGACCAGCCCCACAACGAGAGAGTTGCAGCCACAGGTTCAGCTGGCCCGATCAGCCAATCGACAACAACAACAACAACTTTGAGTTGGAGACAACAACGTGCTGGATAAAGCTCTTGGGGGCGACCATGTCGAATCTCTGCTCTTGGCCCAGTCGCACTTATATGTGGCCAAATTTGCAGTCTGCGATAATTTACAGTTTATTGCAGCTTTTCTTTTGCCTTTTGCCTGATAATATGAAATTTTCTTGCCGAATGTGGCCGATAGCTAGATTTTCTTTAAATGAAATGAAATAAATGTGGCTCGATATTTATGACATGAGAGCATTTTAGACAAAAAGTATTAAGACCGAGGCTTTTAAATAAATTGATATCCATGAATATTGTAGATAGATGTTTCCAGGGAATGTTTAAAAGTGAAAAACTAAGCAAAAATTATTTGAATATTAAAAGAAATTATATGCATGTTTTTCTTATATATAATTATTCCAAGGTTGAGGATACTTAAATCTTAAGTTAAGAACTCCACGTTAAACGCTGCAAAAAATCACGAGGTCTTGAATAAAGGTTTAAAATTTATTTGTGATTTATTATTAATAATCTTTGCTCGGTTTAGATCTTCAATAAGTAAATTATCTCATGAAGAACCTTTCGATAATATTTAAAAGTTAAGAACTTCATGTTGTCGAAGGTGAATAATAGAAAGCTGAAAATAACTTGACCTCAAGCTGCCCAAGCTCCGAAATATTCACAAGAATTAAAAAACGTTCAAAAAATAAACTTGAATATTATCTTTATATTCAAACATTAAATTATTTTCTATTTAAGTAAAAACTTTAATTGTGTACACTCTAAGCCTGAAGTACTTGGACCCTTGCGCTTAGTAGAGCCAGCTTATTAGTTCTAATCGCATTTAAGCAAAATTTCTTATACAACACAATTGTTATTTGTTTTGTGCTTGTTATTTCTGCCGTTGACACAATTTATATTTGCACAAGGGTCAAAACGTAGGTCTGACCTTTTATTCCGATGAACTGACTGCAACAAGAACAAGAGGCAGAATCCGAGTGCAAAAATGCAATTGTTGAGACTCTCGAGTTGTTGTTGTTGTTGACGTTGTTATTGCTGGGTTCTAATAAGGTACCTCTGCAGTCTGCAGACAACCCGCTTGTCTCTGACCCCCGCCACGCCCCACCTCACAACCGACAAAATGAAATTTGAATTTGTTACAAATCGCAAATCACGTTTTCAGACACAAACAACTGACGGCGGAGAGGGGCAGAGACAGTGACAGAGAGAGAGCGAGAGAGATAGTTGAGAGAAGCAAAGAAAAAAAAACAATCGAAAAATGAACAAATGAATGTGAACAAATCAGTTAATCACACCCACACGAATACTACGAATGCACAGGCCCTAGAAATGTGATAGCCCCCCCCCCCCCCCCCTCGCCCTGCCTGAGGTATAGCCCATGCAACGTTGCCGGTTTGAGCCAAGTGCTTGATTCTTATCAAAGCTGGCCAAAAAAAAAAAACAGAAAAGAAAGAGAGCTGAACAAAACCCGTTTGCCAGATTCGCAATAAAGAATATCGTGGTATACGCCAGATTTGCGCTTTTTAGCACAGTTTTATTTACTGTTTCACATTGTTGTAATTTAAACAGCGATTGTCATGGTCGGGATGAGTCGTAGGAGTCTCCGGGCTCGGAGATGAGCTGCCCGAAGATCGGCTCAGATACGAGCTTTGTTGTGGCATTTCGCTTTTGGCATGCCAAACATCTGATCACGACTCGCTGTAACTGCGGCTATTGATGAGAAAATTAAGCAATTAAATGTGATCGGGTTGAAAGTGTGTGCGAAATGAAGTGGAAAGATCAGCCAGATTTCAACAGTTACAACAGATCGCTATAAATGTAAAGCAAGTAGATCAAAATCAAAGCTCAAACTGGCCAAGAACCGAAGCGGTTCGAACCCGAAATCTCAATCAAACCAGCGCATTAGTTCAAAATTGACAAACTTTTTAGATTATTCAAAATTCATTCGTATCTCCGAACTCCAAACACGTAAGCCCAAAGGTTTGTAATCCCAACAAATCCCTCTATATTTCACTTAGCCCTGCAGCCTGGCGCCTGCTGCATTTAAGAGATCATTCCGGAGATCACTTGAGCTCGGAGCCAATCTTTCATTCATAAAAGCGCTGGCCAAGCACTTAACCCATCAACGCGAGGCCAACTGTCAAATGAGCTGTCAAAACGCGTTGCTCACATGGCTCAAACCGTAAGCTAACAATCATCGAGCAAATGCCCCCTTTCACTCCTTTTTCCCCCTTTTCCCTCTCTCGCTCTTTGTGCACTCATTTGTCAATCACATGACAATCAAGGAAATAGATAATTGATTTCTGAACCACATTTTGTATATATTATAGATATATATTATTTCCCCACACAGAAAAACTTCATTAACTTTCTGAGGTTTCACTTGCATTTGAAATAAAAAAAAACGACTGCGTTTATGGAGCTGACTATTTGTCAATCAAGAGCTATACAGGTTGAGAGAGTAAGAAAAAACGACGTTTACGATATGCATAGGTGCACATGTTGATCCATTGAAGAAACAAACAACGCTTCGAAGTGCCAGCCCAGTTGAGCTGCACAGGAAAACCACAAAAACAAATTTGCCGCCTCACATGATCGCACGAGTGATCGCGTCTCGACTGATCAAGAGTGCTGCTGAATGTGAAGAGCAGGGCTGGATGGAGGGTAGAATGCTAAAAGGAAATGAGCACGCATTGCAATTCAGTGTGCTTTTTTTTTTTTGGTGTGTGTTTCAATCTGGCAAAGGGGGAGATCAGCGATCGGCGATCAGTCGATTTTTTCTGAGAATATCAAGGTTTATAGATCACTTACAAAAAGATCTTGTAAATACAAAGAATGTGCTCTAAGTTAATAAAGATCTTTCATTGATATTTACTTATCTTGGCTTAGATCGCGATTCTCAACTGATCACAGCTGATCTTTCATAAGTGTTGATCAGATCACTTTAATTGGTCTTAAGTATGATCAGCAATTATTGTATTTTACTTTAAGGTAAACTGACATGTGCTGATCATCGATCTTAGGTTCATTTAGGTAATCTTAAACTAAGGATCGGATAAGTTTTAGAGTCCACTTTAAACTATACAAGATCACAGCAATTTTAGCTAATATTCCCTACAGATCACAAACAGATCTATATTAATAGCGATCCATAACTAATATACCCCAGCGATTACAGCTGATCTTTTGTCTAACTTTATGGCCACTGATATTTACCGATCGCCGATCTAAGGCTAAAGACCAGACACCTACTAAAGTGTTTGTTGCTATTGCCCAAGCTCGGCGACGTGATCAAAAGTGCAGCAACTTTTGGCTGAACACAGTAAAAAGAAAAACCATCAGCGAGAGATCAATCAGTCAGGTGTGAAGTAAGGCACGAAACGGCATAAGGTATAAGGTATTGTATAAGGTTTCAGGGAGACGCCGGCAACGGCAGCACCGACTGCAAAGTGATCGACATGGCAATCATGTTGAATGGATTTTCAACCTTTCTCGTTGTATGATTTTTCTTCTTCTGCTTTTGTTTTTATTGGGTTCGAAGTTAACGCTCAGAGGTTAATTAGCTGTTTGTTTTTCACGTACTACGCGAGATGTGCAGGGGGCTTTTTTTTTATGGCTACTTACTTTTCTTTTTGAGAAACGGCGGCGGACCGCCGGGCATATCGCGTGGATCGCTCATTTCCATTAGCGGATTGTAGAGTTTGCCAGGATCAATGCCGGGCGGAAATAGGCCAAGCGGCGAGTCCAGGCCAAACACTGTAGAGCAGAGAGAAAAGAAATGATGATAGGTTAGCAAAGAGTTACTTAAATCAAGCTCAAGTCTTTGGCTCATCAGCTTTGATATCTGTTATAAGAAATATTAAACGAGCAAAACTTGCTTATTTATAAGTTGCCTACAATTTGCCTTTATATAAAACTTATTGCAATTGCAAATGTTTCCATAAGCGACTCATTTTCCAGCTCAGTGAATGCCCAACTAACAATGGAATAGACACAAACACGAACACGAACACGTACCTCCGAGACGGGCAGACCCCAAGACTATGCCAATTGAGAGTGCATCTGGGCTCCAGAAGTGGATGTGGATGGTAAACAATGGAACGTCATTATTCGATTAATAATTTACGCTTCGAGTGCACTTCTTCACATGAGTGAAACAATTGAAGCGCTGATGAGGCGGCGACGACGAGAAAGGCACTGAAAAAGGATCTAAAGGATGTGCACAGAAAGCCAAAGCAGGTGGGTGTATTTATGTGTGTGTGTGTGTGTGTGTGTGTGTGAGTGGGGGATAACGCATAACATTGACATTGTGCTGAATGATTTCATAAGTACGCGAATGCGAACTCAAGACACAACACACAGCCACACCCCCACCCGCACACACGTATACTCGCACATTGTAGTCGCATATGAATAAATGAGGGCGTGTAGGGGAAATATACATATTTGTATCTGTATCTAAAGACTGTGTATCTGCTGCATAATGACACAAATAACGAGCGCGCATTGTTTGCGACGCGCTCTGCTCGAGTATTCAAGACATTACAACACGCTGCGTATACGTAATATGCGTTTCTTTCGCTATGCTCCACCTCCTCCTCTTATCCTTCTTAGAATCAAAGCAAGTCTCTGCTTTGCCTGGCGAAATTAGTGCGGATTTCTTTTCACGTCTTTTCTCAAGGGTTCTAGAACAAGACAGCCACTGACTTGTACACACACACACACACACACGCGCATACACGTCACATGCTATTAGTTCAATGATTTTCACGCCGAAATGCGGCTCGCAAAAAAATAAATCACATTCTTCATACGGCAAAACGTTGGTAAATCTTTTTCTGCGGCTGTCTGCAACGCTTCTGTTTGCCCACAGAGAGAGTGAGTGTAGGGTAAACAATGAAGGGTATAAGGACTATGTCAAGGGTTATGTAACATTTATATAAATTTGAGAGCTAAGAGATTCATGAAATGAAACATTAATAATATACATTTGTTGAGTTGACGCTTGTCAAAGTAATGACTACAAAAAGGGATTGTTTGAGAGTGCATTTAGGAATCCAAAGAACAAACTGATTAAAAGACTTTTTGCTGTATATCTCTAATGATTCAAAACTTCATAAAAGTATTGGAAGAAACTCTCTGTATGTATATCTAAAATATATTCAGAAAATTCCTGGATTTATCTATACTTTCTCAAGACTTTGGTTTTGCTCCTTAATCTGCTCGAGTTGGCGCTGATCCTTATAGATACCAACACATCTCTCTCTCTTTCTCTCTCTCTCACACTCTCTCTCTCTCTCTCTCTCTCTCTCTCTCTCTCTCTCTCTCTCACTCTCTCTTTCTATTCTATTATACTCCATTTTTTCTAGCTGACAATATATCGTTCTCATTATAAGATACTTCTTAAGTAAGAGAATATTTTAGTCGACTTGCTTTGTGTGTAATACTTCCTTTTGCATTTCTTTGCCAAGTCGAGGCTTCTTTCTTGTATCCTTGGCTGGCATTCATTGCCTGCAGCCTGTTTATGCAGTAGTTAGCGAGCTGGTCGTATGACCCCCCTTCGTTTGGGATGATGTACAACCCACCCCCCCCTACCCTTAAGTCAACCATCTTCCCATCATAGCTTTGCATTGCCCTGATATGTTGGCTGAAATTTTTGTCGCATTAAAAGGTATTGCGCTTCCTGCGACTCGGTATTTTCGTACAATTTTTCATATTTTTGTATTTTTGTGCCTTAATTTATTTTATATCCTGTGTGCGCGTCGCGCCTGTCAGAGACCGAGTTTGAGGTCTGCATTTGGCGCTGGGGCCAAAGGGGGGCTGGACTCCCCAAACGGATATTATTAATATGAATATCGCGCGACTTATATGCAAAGTTTTATACGAAAAGGGAAGCGACGACGAGGACGAGCAGAAGCATGACGAGGACTGCGAGGAATCAGGATTCAGGTCTCGACACACAGGACTCTGTATTTTTATTTATGCCGCCGACGCTGCCAAAGTTGTTTGCCAAAAGGTTTAAGTCGCTGCAGCACCGTGTGGCATACTTTAAACACAAACACAACGTGCAACACACACCCTGTGTGTGTGTGTGTGTAGGGTTGAGGAGGCGTGGCAGTTGTCTGTGTGCTGTTTGGCAACTTAAAAGTCATTTCACTAAACGTCTGCCGACAGTTTGAACTCGCAGCGACTGAGAGAATTGCAAGCACACACATAAACACACACATTGCTTCACATGTTGCCAAAGACACAACATAAATTTCTAGCGCTCTGCACGCAACGTGCAACCCCTTCTCAGCACCCCCCTTTTGCACCTTTGGTTGTGTGTGTCTCTCCTTCTGCCTCGGGTGACATAAATATACAAAAAATCATATATAAACCGCAATTGAATTTATTTCGACTGCAACTCCAACTTTGCAACTTTGCACCAACCGCAAATGCAGCGCCCAACTGCCGCCTAGTCGTAGGCAAAGTTGCTGAGTTGCCGACAGGGGTATAGCAAGGGGGCAGGGGGGAGGGGTTGCAATAACTAAACTGTCAAATTATTAGAGGCGCACTTGCAGCTCAGTTTGTCACATTTCAGTTTTCAGTTCATTTCAATATATCTTATGAGTTGTCAACTAGCAAAAATTGTTTATGACTTAATTAGGAATGAAAATGAATGGGGGAAGTGGTTTAGCGGGGTTTCAAGGGGCATGAGTGGGTAATAGCTTTAAGCCGCAGCGCATAACTTTGTGACTTGGCAAAAACAATCTAAATGTGAATATATGAAGAAATTCTTTGAAATTCCAGTTATGTTGGGCACAACTAGTGTGAGAATCGCAGAGAGAGAGGTCGTATGAACATATATGTGGAAGTGAGGAAAATAGACTACAAAAAAAGGGGAAAGGAGAATTTATAAGACTGAAGTTGAACAGCAAATGGGGTAATTACCTCTACGAACGACTCTACAGTTGATAAAGGCTAAGCTACTGCGAGAACCGCAGAGAAGGGTCATATGCAATTATATGTGCTAAATAAAAGTAGGGAAAGGAGGAATTACAAGCGTGAAACTGAGCAGAAAACGGAGTTATCCACTTCATGAGAGAATCTACAAGTGATATGGTTGAACATGCATGGGAAAGCTGTCAATATATTGTATTATTTGCAGAATGATGAAGGTTTTCGATTGAAGTTTAACTAAGAAAACTGTTGAAAGATGAGCTCTTCTATTTATATTGGTCAACCCAATGTAATCCCATATCTGGATTTTTCCGCATTCTTTCCTTGGAACTTGTTGGTGCAGAATATTTTCCATAAATGTCCATAAAAGCGCATTAAGTTATACACAGCGCAAAAAATACGAATAAAGCAGTTGGAGAGTGTGAATACCCACTCGGGGGCGACCCTAATGCGTTTAAAGGCTTTGCGACAGCTTTGGCCATGGCAACGACTGCAGGAGCTCAGCAAAAAGGATGCTTATGCAGTCGGTGCCACTTTGATGTCGCCGGCAAAGCGACAGGAACGGAGACAGGGATAGGCAGGGGAGAAGGAAGAGAGGAAGGGACAGAGACAGAGACAGAGACATCGACAACGACAGTGGCCACATGTTGCATGCCGAGTGGCTGCCACGCTGTGGGGCAAGGGACATGCGAGCTTATTAAAAGTGGAGTCGCTTGAGCGTACGTGCGCCAAGGAGTCACAGAGTCAAGGAGTCCAATCAGGGGCAGAGGAGGAGGAGCTGGGCAAACGGGAGCTGCCTGCAGGGACTGCGTTTATTAGGACTTCCGCTTGTTTTTTTTTTCAAGCTCTTTGGTGGAGCGAAATTTGTTTAGGACAGCAACAGGATGTGCAGGATGTGAAGCCTAACCCAGTGACCTCGCAAAGATAACGCGTTTTCTACTTACTGTGCGGCGGCGTTAGCGTCAACGCCGAGGACATGCCGGGAAAGGGCAGCGGCGACGGCGGATGCGGCTGTCCGTCCTGTGGATTATAGTGGCCAGGCAGGCTCATGGGCGAGGTGGGCGCGAACTCCTTGCAAAAGTCCTTGCCAAAGTCTTTGCCAAACTCCTTGCCAAACTCCTTGCCGAACTCCTTACCAAACTCCTTGCTTAGCCGATTCATGCTCTCCTCGAGCCGTTCGTGCGGCGCCTGGCCCGGACAGCCCGAACCCGGCGCCCCGTTGTGTCCACCGAAGGGCGGCAGTCCCATGGGCCCCAGAAGATTGCTGGCGAATGCATTGTGCTCCCGCTGCAGCGCCTGCTCCCGGCTCTCCCGGAGATCGCGCGGATCACGCTGGTGCATGGCCGCCGCTGCGGCGGCCGCGGCCAGCGACATTTCCATTTGGTGTTCCATGTGATGAAACGGATTCTCGCCGGCGCCTGCTGCGGCTACGGCGGCAGCGGCCGCGGCGTGCATTTGCGCCTCCAGCGCCTCCATGTGGCAGGGCGGGCTATCGGGCAGGCCGTGCGGACGCATACCTGGCGGCGGAAAGGATAAAAGTCCATTGTTGCCCGGCGCGCAGCTGCTGTTGGGCGTGTGGCTGGGCGTCGATGTGGCGCTGGGCTTCGCGTTCAGCTGTCTGATGTCCTTCAGGGACAACATGATGCGTTGGTTGTTGTCCTGCAGCTTGCTGCTGTTATTGTTGTTGTTGTTGTTGTTGCTCTCGCCGTCCGAGGAGTGCGCATGGCTGGTGTCCTGCTTGTCCTTTTTGGTGGTGCACAGATCCTCGGGCCCGTCGCTGGGACAGGGCGACATGGCAGCCGCATTGGCGGCGGCAACTGCCGCCTGTCGCCGCAGCTCGTTGGTCGTGTGTATAAGCTCTTCGATGTCCTGCTCCTCGTCCTCGTCCTCATCCGCATCTTGATCATGGTCGTGAACGTGCTCGTGCTCGTGCTCATGCTCCTCCTGCTCTCGCTCGTGCTCGTGCTCGTGCTCCCGCTCCTGATCCTCGTCCTCTTCCTCATCGAGCTCCTGTTCTGCCTGATGATTGCTGCTGCCGGGCGTAATGAGGGGTAACGCGCGCTCCTGCTGCGGTTCCCTGTGCCCGCCCGGCTCTCGCTGCTCGGCTTCATCTTCGGGCTCATTTGTTTGCTGGGACTGCTGCTCATCCTGCTCCATGGGAATGACCTCGTCCGCTGTGGAACGCTTCTCGCTCTGCTCCTGTTCCGGCTCCTGCTCCTGCTCCTCCCGCAGCTCATGTTTGATCACAGTTTGCAGCGCCGCCGTCTCCGATGACTCCGGTTTGTTGAGCGCAAAGTCGTGTGGAACATCGCCCGAGCGTCGCCGTGGACGCGCCTGCTTGCGTCGCGGCATGGGCGAACTGCCACCCAGCTCTTGATCGCTCTCCGGCTCCCGATCGCACTCCTGTTCCCGCTTGCGGCGCAGACTAAGCGCCGCCATGGCGCTGGCCGGATTGCCAAAGAGCCGGCTGGGCATAATCAGCTTGCCAGATGCTGGCCTGACCATCGAGGGCGACTCGTCCTCGTAGCTGGAGGAGAGCAGTGAGGAGGCGTCCAGCAGGTTGAAGTCGTCGGGCGAGGCAGCCGGCGTGGGCGTGTGCTCCGGCACGGAGCTCTCGACAAGGCCGCGCACCTGCAGCGACTCGCCCGCCTGGATGAGAGTCTGGAGGCGCTGCTGGGGCACGCTGATCTCGCCGCGGTACATGAAGTCCACAATGGCCTGAACGACCCAGCCGCGAAAGTCCTTCAGCACGATCACCGGGTGCTTGCAGGGCGTCTCGGCGAAGACGCGCTGGAAGAAGGGCGAGCAGGCGGACAGAACCATTTTGTGGGCCCGTATTGAGGTCTCCGCGCAGACGAGGGTCACATCCACCAGGGTCTTGGTCTGCAGCAGGGCGTCGAAGGCGCGCAATATGTGATTCTGATGGTTGTTCCAGCGCAGGCTATAATGATCCTGTGTGGCCGCCAGGGAGGCGCTAACCGCTGTGGGCGTGGCAGGTGGACTGTGCGTCGTTGTGGCCGCCACTGCGGCTGCTGCTGTGGCCGTAGTGGTTGCCGTTGTGGTCGCCGATTGGCTCATGTTCAGCGGCAGAGCTGGCGGCGTGGGAGGCGTTGTGGGCGGTGTTGTGTGCATTGATGCATGGGCGTGGCTGTGCGTCGAAGGCGCCGGCATCGGCATTGGCAGCGGCATTGGCATCTGATGATGCGTATGATGCTGATGATGATCCGCGCCCGCTCCGTTCGTGCCCGTGACCATGCCCGGAGGCGTTGTTGGTGGCTTTGCTAGCAGCGGCAACGCAAGCGGCGCTGGCGCCACCTGGCGGCCAAACTCGTTCATATGCAGCGCCAGCGGCAGCGACGTCAGTTTGCAGCGTTTTATCAGCTCCTCGGCGTCCTTTAACATGCCCCGTACACCTACAGCTGCGCTCAGCCCCAAAAGTCACGTGTCGCACCTCAAAACTGCTGCGAGACGCTAGATAGCTGCAAAGAGGAAGAAGAAAGATGTAGGTTAGAGGCGAATGTGCAAAAGCTTAGGCATAATGCGTTGCATAATGTATTCGGATTTGCTACACTGAGCGAAACTTTGAGACAGAAGTAATGGACTTCATACTTAAAGTAAATATTTTGCTTAAATAAATTTAATTTTTGTGTTAAGAGAAGAAAACCTGTATACACATATTGAACGTAAAACGTTCCCACTCTTAACATATATTTAATTGAGGTCTTTTTTCTCCGAGTGTACTCGGGTACTCATGACATATGCCATGTCGTGTATGTGTTGTGATAATATGTTAATGAGTCGCGGCATATATCATCTTTTCTCCGCCCTATGCCTCACATTTTCGGTAAATCCCAAGCACAACAAAAGCCAAAACAATGAATGCACAGCAAAAGCTAACAAGAACAACAAAAAAGAAGAAGTGAACAAGAAGAAGACGAGCAAACGCACATGAAGCAATCAGAGTCGGGTACGTGTCGTGTCGCATATCCTTGAGGATATCACATGCAGATGTGTGATGTGTGATAATGGCTCACTGCTCGCCTACCCCTGCCCCCTGCCCCTGCCACCAGCCCTTCTCCACATTCCGCCTGCCTGCAGCTTTGCCCGTCTGTCTGTCTGTCTGACTGTCTATCGTTCTGCGCGCCTCTGTCGCCGACTGTGTTTTTGTTTATCTAAGCCTCACACACACAGACGCATGCAAAGTGGAAATTATGATTAAAATAGATGTTAAAATTTAAAGAAATCTTATGAAGAATACTCAGATATAACAAATTTTGCTTGAAAGCGTCCCAACAATTGATTAAATCCGATGTTTTCAATAACTTTAGGTTCTATCTAACAGATGTCAATTTGAATATATTCTAATCTAGTTAAGGATCCTTCTCTGTTTTTTCTACACCAAAATACAGTTAATCGATACAAATATATCGCAATTATAACAGTTATCAATAAATTATAACAGTAATCAATAAATTTAAGGAGATTTCTATTGATTTATTCCAATTTTAAACACAAACTCTTTTTATTCTGGAATATTTTTATTTTAATTGATCTTAAGTTTCTATTATTTTTCTATTATTAATATTTATTTTGAAAATTATTTATATAGAAAATCAAAATTCTTAGGATGCTTGGAATTTCGAACATTTTCTACCATTAAATTTGTCCATTTATATGCGCATGACAACCATTGTGCTCTTCTGAGCTTTTTTTACGCATCTCGGTGCGTGGCATCTAATTAATTCAGCAACTGTCTGGCGTGGCGTGCCGTGCTTCTAGCCGTGCCTCTACCCCGCCCGTGCCTGGCGCTGCACGCTGCGTGTGTGAATTTAAAAAACAGTCGCCAGCTGCCTGACAACGCCTGAGAAACACAGGAGCAGAGCCAGTCGAGATCCTAGCCAAATGCTTAATGCCAAAACCAACTAGCTTCATTGCCAGCGATGCAAAATTAAAAAACTTTACATTTGCCCGGCGTAAATAAACATTTTTATTTGCCGTTAGCTGCGGCTGCAACCGCTGCTGCTGCTGCGTCTTGAAGCGGTTGCCAGTTGGCGCTGGGTACTTGGCGAAAACCGCATATTAACACATGCTGCTGCGCCAGGATGCGGCGCCAACTGGGCCAGGACCCACGTCTGAATGCAACAATGTGCAATTAGCAGGCATGCGGCATGCGGCATGTGGCATGTGGCATGTGGCAAGCGCCATTCGGCATCTTTTTTCCTTGCATCTCATTTGCGGTGCGCAACTGACGCGACTAAAGTAACTGCGGCAAACATTTTTTATTTATTTACTCGCGTATTTTACTTTCGAGCGTTGCCAAACGCGACACAGTTCAAAAAACATTTAATGCCACTTGCTACCTGTGGGTGCAGCAGAGTAGGAGGCAGGCAGAAGCAGATGAAGACTTGCACGAGCTTTTAATTAATGTCGCAGTAAGTCAGTCAGATTTACTAGCAGAGAACTCGGATTTGGGCTTAAGGCGGTCCCTGGCTTTACCCAAGCCCAAAAGAAGAAAAAAAAAAGAGTTGTCAATGTGGCATGCCACAAAGTTAGGGCTTTAAGAAGTTTAAAAAAACTAAAAATAATTTAAGAAAAAACAAGTCATTCTTCTATTTCTAGGTAGATGTTTCGTCAATAAGACAACTTAAGAAAAAGCAGGACGACGGTTCAATCCACAAGGTACTTTGTTGGGTTAGGCCTTTAATTTTAATTATATTTCTTAAATTTCTTACGATTGTCTGAACTCTAAAACGATTCAAGTTTGCAGAGGAATAAATGGATAAATATTGCTAAATAAAGCTAAAAATCCAAGCTAAAGACCAGTTTGGCTTTGCGAATATTCAGGTGTGCTTCCACCCTTAAACTGTCAACGTCTTAACTCAAGATCGGATAAATTCCATACCCTTTTGGGGTGGGCTATCAAATAACCCTACTTTGCATATTATCGAAAAATAAGCTTGTTTTTATAATCAGATTGTTGTGTGCGAATATTTGTTACTGCTATGGATATTTATTGCAATATATTTTAATGCAAAGATAAATTCGAAAATATATCTAGACGATATAGACCAACATTATTTATATTAATAATAATAATAAAATATTGTTTATGTATAAATTTCGATTTGGTTAATGTCCCTTACGTACCATCCACGTATCTCTATTCTGAAGTTGTATGCTCAGCAATATCCTTTCCAAATTCTTTTGATTATCTATATGCTGATTATATTTGTTTTCGCATATATTTGCATTTCATTCACTTGGCTCAGTTTATTATAATATTAACACAGTTTTTAGTTTTCGATAACATTTCGCTTGCTTTTAACTGTGAACACAAATTAGGTAGTTGAAATTAGATATGCGTGTTTTATTATTGTATTTCACATATGTTTTTTGTTTTCTATTATTATTATAATCGTTCTTCAGGTGTGCGAACAAAAGACACATACAAGCACGGAAGATCTCACACACACGTGTATACACACGGGTTCTACGTTCTGGGCTCTGATTTCGCTGTGATCTCAAAAAAGTGCGCGTACGCGTCGAGGGTTTGCCACAAACTGATTCAAAGCAATGCAAATAAATGCGCAGCAAGTTGGGAGTACGCTTCACATGTGAATGTGGGTATGGATATGGATATGGATATGGCAAAGAGACCGAGCGGCTCTCACCCTCACGCAACACGCAGCCCGCAGCCCGCACCCTCAAATGGCAACACACACACACTCGCACACACACACACACACACACACTGATATGTGTTTATGTGGGCAGGATCAGCATCTCTCGCTCTCAGCTCGTCTCTCTCGCTGCGCACTCGGCACGCCGCAAAATTTCCACACTTCTGCAGGTGATAATCAGGTGTGTGTGTATATATGTGTGTGTGTGTGTGTTGACACATGTACAACAGGCACAACAAACAGTGCAACACGCAAGTAAATAAACACTGCCTCGCACAGGTAACTGACAGGCTGGACATAAAGGTCCTGGCACAGGTATTTTGTCCAATTAAATGGCCGCTGACAGATCAATTTGTGGGCCCATTTGCAGCGGCCATAAACCTGTGTGTGTGTGTGTGTGTTTGCTTAAGTGTGTGTTGCACTCGATCCCTCAATTTGTTTAGCAAATTTCACAGAATTTATTTTGGGTTTCATTTGAAAAATCCGCGTTTTATGATAGGCGCGACAACCAAAACATAAATTGTCGGTTTAAAGCGGTTCACAATTATGTTGATTTTTGCATTGTGTGGCTATTAACTAAGCAAACGGATTAAATTAGTATTTTAATTTATTATTTTTTCAAGTTTTTTTGTGTTTTTATTGATAGAGAGGATTTCAATCTTTTAAAATGACAAAAACTCGTTATTATTTGGATAGAGTTTTAAAAATGTACCAATCAAGCAAAAAAGTTTAAAGTTTTAGCAGATTGAGAAGAGATGAAACAAATACCTTAAGTTCCCACCGATTAGGCAAACCAAATTTCTAGCGGCATGAATTTTATTTAAAAACTTAAACAAAAATATATAATAAACACATTATTTTTCATAGTTGTATCATCCAATATATTTTTTAAAGAACTTTAAACTTTATATATATTTATTTTATATTAAAAGCTTGTTGTTTTTGACTTTATTTGGGTAAGGAAGATTTTATTTCTTAATCTTTATCATATATACATATATCTATTTTGATTCAAATATATTTTTTTTTTTTGATAATTGAGTTTAAGGTAATTATTCTTTTATCCGATTTCAGATTCTAAGAAATCTTTTTATTTATCGAAATTTTGATATTTTTAACCTTGGCAATATGAAGCTCAAGTTTTTATGATTTATTTTGAATGTTTTCTTCCTTTTTTTATAGAATTCACCGTTTTTTAAAACTTTTCATTACCATTTAATGTTATCAAAAATGCCCGATAGAATGTTTCAAATATTCAGTTGGTTTTTCTGTAGATTCCGTTAAGTCCTTTTTCTTTATCAAAACACGTCCATCTTCGGACAGCACACACAGACAACTGTCTCAGGAATTGTCTTCAATCGAGTTTTTTACCATTCACATGTGAGCGCACGCATTTTATCACATACTTTTAAAAAAGAGTTAACGGTATTTTTTGGCGTCGGCACGAGCTCGTAACGGTTAACGGTAACCCCACGCTCTGTCTGTGTGTGTGTATGGGTGTATGCGTGTGTTCTGCGGTCGCGTGTATGTTTCGAACCGTTCAAACGTCACGAAGCGACTAATTCAAATGATGTCGGCCCGAAAAAACAGATATGCGAGCCAAAGGCAGCTACGGCGACGCCGGCGTCGGCAGCAGCGTCACACACACGCGACCCCCACCAACGCCCCCGCCCCTGTCGCCGCTTCCGTTGACGGCGGTCCACCCTTGCCGCCCACGTGCGCGCACACGTATGAGCAGGCGAGGCACAAACAACAAACAGCATGCGAAACACATGAGGATGCTCGCAGCTCGCAGCTCGCAGCTAGCAGCTCGCAGCACGACGCGCGACGAGCTCGGCAGGACGAGGCGATGCACGAGTAACGGCAACGTTAACGGTAACGACGACGACGCTGGCAGCGAGGCTGGCGTTTTTACTCCTTCGTCATATAAAATATATTTTTTGCCTTATCACAACAAAAACAACAACAACAAGAACTATACGAGCAGCAGCAGCAGTCGAGGTCCTCGCACGTCACGTACACCGAAAAAATTTATTATATTTGCGTGTGTGTGTGTGCGTGTATACGAAATACATTTGCATACACATGCGTAGCGCAGCCGAAGCGCAGACAGCAGCCGAGTGGCCGCCCGCACGACACGAAGCGCGCCAACAACAACAGCAACAAATACAACAACAAAAAGAGCGACACGAAAGAGCGACGCACCCACACACACACACACACATACATATATACATACGTGGCATGTGGAGCTTTGAACGCTCGTAAAGAGTAATAGCCACCACCAACAGCAGCAGCAGAAGCAGCAACAACAACAACACACGAGTCACCCACCCCCGTTAGACGTCGCCTCGTTGGCTCACATGGAGTTTACACACACACACACATATACACAGTTGTCACACGTTGGCAGCGACGCCGGCGCCAGCTGCGCGTGAGTGTAACATTTTTCATAAAAAGGGGCGCCGGCAGCGCAGTCAACGTCAACGCCAGCGTCGACATATCCTTTTTGGGCAGCTTATGGAAAACGAAAACTGAAAGCAGCGAGTTGAGTTTTTGCTTTCCAGAGAGCGAGAGAGTGAGCGTGCGACACGATATATGTGTGAGCGAGAGCTAGTGTATGTATGTAACGTACGTGGCGCTCTGTCTGTCTGCCTGTCTCTGTGTGTGAGTGTGGCGCTCACATGCAAAGCTCTTTGCTACACAACTCTTCTGCTCAACTGCTAGAGACTGCGACTGCGACTGCGAAGCTGGCAGCGCTGCCTTGCACTCGCCTTGCTGCCGGTGTTGTTGTTGTTATTGTTATTGTTATGACCAAAGCTTTTTGCTGCTGTTTCCAGCTGCTGTTGCTGTTGCTATTGCTATTGCTATCTCTGTCGCATGTGCTCGCCTTTTAGTATGTTATCTATTTCTCGTATTCCGTGCATGCGAGCTGCGTTTTACTTTACATAAGCGCGGCGCAGCGCCACGCGACGCTGGCGTTGGCGTTGGCGCAGCTCTACAAACAGAAAAGGCAAAACAAGAAAAAAGCGAGAAAAGTAAAATAAAATCATATACACAACATATTACACCCATATACACATATACATATGCATATGTGTGTCTCGCTCTGGCATGTGTGCGAAAGAGAAATGAGCAAAAAAAAAAAATAAAACGACGCGTTGCTCGGAAAAACCAACCCCTAACCTTGCTGATTTTTGTCAAAAAAAAAAAGAGCACAAGAAAAACTCGGTGGAAATTGACAAACATATGCACACATACACCGAAGAGGAGGGTTAGCATGTGCGTGTGTGTGACATATGAGCACTTTTTGCAACATTTCGATTTGTTGGCGCACTCTCTCACTCACACACACACATACGCAAGGGAGTATATATGCGGTTACATACGCCCACATATGTGCTCGGGCGGATTAGCAGAGGTTACCAGATTGGCTGAGGCCAATGTGGATGAGCACCTCGCAAGGGCGACGCACATGAGAGCTAAGCGGCGGTTATTTTTTTAAAGAGAGAACACAATATGTGGAGAACCTACAGTGCATATGAGTTATAGCTATAGCTCAGCTATAGGCTATGTTATCTTAAATATCAGTGATCATATTTATTTATTATTATCATAATGTTTATCATATTTTTATACTCTTTTAGAGGGTTTTAAAGACTGTTCACGAAGTCCATGCATAAAAGAAAATATATTCAATCCCGTAAAGTCTTTATACCTTTGATCGAATCATTAGTTGATTCGATATATCGGTATCCTCTATCTGTCTAGAAACTTAATATTATATATGTTCTCTTGCTGCAGGCACTAGCATCGGCCAGATTGGACTCATAAGTCATATAGTAGATCGATCATATAAATCAAATGATCATATAGATCAAATGATCTTGTAGATATATTGACACAGCTTAATAAAACTCGGAGTACTATATAAAAGGAACGATCGAGTGTCAGAGTGACAATCGATTGTAAATTGTTTGTATATAGAAGTCAATCGGCTCGATCTTCTATAGTTTTACTTTTCAGTATATCTTGATCAATCTCATCAATTAAGATACGTTCCTAAAGCCAATCGATAACTATATCTTATGGATCCCATAAAAACAATCGACCTTAAATTGACAATCTTTGAGAATTCGTGTGGCTTGATCTAGCAATATATCGTAAATCATCTCAGGGGGTATTAATCTTCTTTTTAAATATATATCAAACACAGATCCACAAAAAATTCCTGCTAGCATTCAGCAAGGAATTTGTGTTATAATTTCGGCGGCCTTTTCCTATTTTATTTGATCCTCCTTAAATTATATTCGCGTATACGCTTCATGCTTGCTCTGTCCTGTTTTCTTTATCGGTTACTCTTATTTCTGCGCTTTTCCAATTTTCACTTTGTCTCTGTTTTCCTATGGTTCATTTGCATTTTATGATTTGTTTGCCTGCGCTTTGTTTTTCACGTTTTTCGCCATAAATTTTAATTGTTTTTCTTCGATTTTTATTTTGCGCCATTCTTTCGGTGCCAGCTTGCTGCAGGGATCCGGGCCAGGGGGGAGAGGGGGCGGGAGGGCGCCCATTATAATACGCTGGCGCTCACTCTCGCTAGGCGCCTAGGCAGGTCGCACCTTTTATTGT